GTAGGAACTTTCTCTTCTCTGTCGAAGATCTCACCTATGAATCTTTTCTCTGTATGTTTCTTAATAAACCAATCTCTCAAAATCTTTCCTTTTCTCAGATTCACACAGCTCGTCTACACCATCTCTCAGCCCTTCTCGCTGTTATATCCACTCCCACGGTCAGACTGTCTGAAACCGTCAGAAACAAAAAAAAAAGTAAGTGACACTAAATGAAGGAAGAAGCAAAGGAGTCGAGGTGAAGTAATGAGATGCATAGGTTTGTGTTTCGAAATCAGCAGAGTTCCGAGAAATCTTTAAGAAACAATGTCTGAAGTTCTTAATTTTGATCAAATTAAGAAACAAACAACGAATTTGAAGAACTAAAGATAAACTTATCAGTGGTTAAACCTGCTTCTTTTTCTTCGAAAAAGAATCAAACTCAATGAAGCATTGTTTCGAAACCGATTTGTAAAGGGAGAAGGCAAAGAGAGAGGAAGATGAATCGGGGGAGGATGAGAGAAGAAAGGAGGCGATGAAGAATGTTTGGTCTGGGGGCCTTGTAGATAATAATGTTTGAAGCCCAAATGAAATGAGCCCAATAGAAATAGATTGCCAAGTTGTCGCTGACGTGGCCGCATGAAGACACTCTATTGGCTGATTAAATATGCATACGTGGACAGTCTCATTGCTCTAGAATAAGAGCTTTTAATAGTGTATGATTTATTTGAACTAAGCAAAGGAATATGGGAAATTGCCAGAAATAACACTTTCAAGATACCACTTTTCAACTTTACACTAACCAACTTTACCATTAAAATTTTAATAGTCAAAATACTATTAGAATTTAGGGTTTAGGGTTTTGGGTTTTGGGTTTAGGATTGATAGTTTAGGGTTTAGTGTTGATTTTTTAGGGTTTATGGTTTACTTTTTAGGGTTTAAGGTTTAGAATTGATATTTTAGGGTTTAGGGTTTATTTTTTAGGGTCTAGAGTTTAGGATTGATGTTTTAGGGTTTAGGGTTAATATTTTATATAATATTTATTTTATATATATATAAAGAACAAAGATATAAGAGTCTTAGATCCTTTAATAAAATGTGTATTTTTGAAAATGTTCATTTGTTGATGTTAAACATGAAAAGTGGTACCAACAAAGTGGTGTATTGAAATTCTCCCAAACAATATTCCACTAAGGCAGGCAGCATTAACAACTTAATATTGAGTGATTAATGCAATAGATTTTCGTAACCATATCCCCCTACTTATTTTTATTAACTTTCTATTTTATGTATTAAAATATTTCACACAAAGAGATTTAGTGACATTTTTATCAACCCTCTAAAAAATCTAAGTTATCATACTAAATCGACATGTTTAAACTCTGAATTCATATGTGCACTAAACAGACCGATGCCAACAAAAATTATATTAACTCTATAAATCAAGAATGTTATTATTCCATAATTTATACATTGTGGTGATATTTTATATCAGATTTTAGAATATATTTTACATGGTGATGGGTTTATTCCGAAAATATAGCTATTTCTAGCTTGCAAACAAAATATACAAAATGCAACTATATATGCTAACTTTCTCATATTTAACAACTAAATAAAAATTGGAAAACATATAAATAAACAAAAATTGCCATTCGTAAATCTATATAAAGCGCATTTAAGATTTCATTGCAAACTATATATTCATTCAGAAAGTTGTTATCAACAAGATCTCTTTCTATACAAAATCTTTTCTATTTAAAAAACTTTATAATAATGTCCACTTATTTAATAATTGCAAAGTTTTTATCTTCTGTTTAATTTTTTCTAATAATACCTTTAAAATATTTGTTTAATCATGAATTATTTATCCTAAAAATTTGTACATCGATGTGTTTTCTAGGATCCATTCTTAACAAATCGTACAAATCTATTTTCAAAAATCTAATATTATTAAAACATAGCTACAAATTTAAAACTAACATTATTCCTACATATTGTATTGCAAATTATGTAAATTTCAATAACTTGATATATTAGTATTTAGAATAAAAATAAAATTAAATGAAATACTATTTTAAAATTAATAAAAAAATATTGTATCAATATATTATTAAATGACTGATTGAATAATGGTTAATGTTTTTTAGTCACAGTTTTAATGGATTGTCTATCAACATACATCACATTTATCAAGTATAAGTATAAGACAAGTTGAACAAGTAAAAATCATAGACTTATTCTTAGGTTCACCCCCTAGGGTGAACCTCTAAGTTCACCATCCAATAAGATTACATCATTTCATATTTGATATCTTTTTAAAAAGGAAACAAAATCTTATTTAGTTATATTATATTTTTATAAATAAAAATACAAAAATAATAAATAAAAAAGAAAAATAATTATTTTTAAAGAAAATATTTTAAAACTAAACTCTAAAGTCTAATCTTACGTAAATCATAAGCTTTTGAATAAATCTATAAAAATTTAGTGTTTATGATTTACTCAAGGGTTTAGGGTTTAGGATTAGAGTTTAGGGTTTAGTGTTTATGATTTACCCAAGAGTTTAGGGTTTAGGATTAAAGTTTAGGGTTTAGTGTCTATGATTTATCCAAGGGTTAGGGTTTAGGATTAGAGTTTAGGGTTTAGTGTTTTAGTGAAAAGAATTTTTTTTAAAGATTTTTTGTATAAAATTTACCAAAGGTTTATGATTTACCTAGGGGTTTAGGGTTTAGGATTAGAGTTTAGGGTTTAGTGTTAAAATATATATATTTTTAAAGAATTATTTTTCGCTTTTATTAATTATTACTATTATTTATTTATTTTTATATTTTTATTTTTAAAAACATAATATAACTTAACAAGATTTTGTTTCCTTTTTTAAAATATATCAAATGTGAAATGATGCAATCTTATTGGATGGTGAATCTATAGGTTCACCCTAGGGGGTGAACCCAAGAATAACTCAAAATCATATAACATAAATATTAATTAACTTAGACTTAGTTGTTGATTAATTCTAGTAGTAATTTAATCACTTACAATCATATATTTACGTACACCATATTATTTAGAAAGTTTGAGAGTTCACAACGACATACCAAGACAAGAATAAAATTATTTAGAAAATCAAATTTATTATGACAAGACAAGAATAAAATTATTTAGAAAATCAAAACTATCAGCACAATCTGAAATATAATTTATACACAGAAATTAAAAATATAAATTATGAAATAAAGTTCACAACGACATACCAAGACAAGAATAAAATTATTTAGAAAATCAAAACTATCAGCACAATCTGAAATATAATTTATACACAGAAATTAAAAATATAAATTATGAAATAAAGTTGTAATATTCTTTTTTTTTTTTTTTAAATATTACATTTCGAAAATAATTTCGCGTTTTTAAAGTGCGGGTCAAAATCTAGTTATATCTTAAAATCAAATTTATTATGACTCTTGGACTGAATTTTTTTTCCTATAAAAAAATGTTGATGTCACTTTCGGTTTGCTATTATATATAGATTAACACATGTAATAATTAGTAGCTAACAAAAATTCGACACACGATCTGTTTTTTAGAGTTATTCAACTTCTTTGGTGAATCACACCAAGATTGTTTCTCCAAATCTAATTAATTGGGTGATACTGATACACACAAAGATATCCTTCCCGTTTATAGAATTATAAAACTTTATTATGTTACCAAAAACAAAAGAATCATGAAGGAAACTAGAGAAAATTAAGGTGACCTCAGTAGCAGATTAAATGCATTTTATTAGATCTGCTATCTTAACTGAGAGAAATAAAAGAGGATAAATACAATTGTTTATCACCATAACCCCTTAAAGTTGTTTAATCTTCTTTTCATTTCACTCCCTGATAAACACAAAACATAAGACAAATGAAGATACCATCAATTGTATGCGTCATTTTCCTTATCGTCATCTCTATTACCATTGTTTCGAGTTCACCAGACCATGGAGAAGTTGGTAAGCTATTCTTAATTAAATCATCTTTAAATGTTTATCAATATATAGCTTACCTAGAAAAGTTGGTGTGCTTTTGAGAAAAAATTAATCTTACGTTGAACATGATATGAAACACACTTAAAGATTCAAACCACAACAGTCATTTAGTTTTAAGTTCTGAAAATCCAAAGAACGTTCGCATGTTTTAACTCGAAGCTGACTTGTGAGCCTTATATAAGCACATCTTTTTTATGATTCGTAGGTGACGAGACGGAGTTTAACTCAAAACGGATGATATTTAGGATATATAAGCACATCTTTACGTTTAAACTGCATATATTGATGGCAGCGGTTACGTATTCTCATTCTCTGGTTCGGCGTCGATACGGACAAGGAGACTCCTCGCCATCGAAGAGAACAGACAAAGAAAACGTAAAAAAATGGGCCTCTACGACACCAAAAACAAAGCCCATGAAAACCTTTAAGAAATGGCCATGTACGAACCAAAAACAAAGCCCATCATGAACCACAAAACCGTAGAAAGAAAACCAATTTAAACCGAAATGCATTGATAAAATTTGGTCGGTATAATTTAATTGGGTGATTGCTGACATGTCTTTTTTTGCCCCCTCACAAATGCTGATGTGGCTCTCTAAGAAGGGAGAGAAGCCTACTTTATTTCATGGGCTTTGTTTTTGGTGTCGTAGAGGCCCATTTTTTTACGTTTTCTTTGTCTGTTCTCTTCGATGGCGAGGAGTCTCCTCGTCCGTATCGACGCCGAACCAGAGAATGAGAATATGTAACCGCTGCCTTCTCCCATTAATGTCTCCTTTACTCTCATCTTTGGAGCCTTGACCACAGTTCTACAAATTCCTCTNGCCTTCTCCCATTAATGTCTCCTTTACTCTCATCTTTGGAGCCTTGACCACAGTTCTACAAATTCCTCTTTTAGCTTCAGGTTTTTTGCTTTGTTTTACTTTATTTTTTACTATATATCTAATTATTGTTTCTGAATGTGCAGGATAGAATGACAAGCTAGATTGAGATGGCAGCGGTTACGTATTCTCATTCTCTGGTGTTCTTTGCGTTATTCTGCAAATCGCACAACCCCCAAACGCGCGTGAAAGTTTGCATAGCTCGAAGAGGCGATTCATCGACGATTTCGCACCGGAGATCTCAGATTCGCTTGGAGTTTGGAGACCTCAAAGAGTCCGTCAAGCGGTGGATTCTGCTCGTCGTCCGTGCCGGTACGCTTCGTTCCTGTTTTTTCTAGGGTTTCGTTTTTAGGATGTGATTTTGATTTGTAATTCAAAGGTTTCTAACGATTTAGGGCTTTATAGAGACTAAGCATCTACTTTGTGGAGAGGAGATTAGATTGTAACAAATTGATCTTAGTGTCAGGCGTTTACCTGATATACAGTTTTTTTTGGAGTGTGATTTCAGAGGAAGATGAAGAAAGATGAGAAGAAGGTTGCAACGGGAAGGACGAATTGCGCCAGATCTTCAGCAGTAGCTTCTGCGTCAACGGTAGAAGAAACCACTCCTTTGAGGAGGTCATCCAGGGGGAAACCGTCTACCTCTACGAAGCCTATAAGTCCTGCTTCTGGTAGCAGAAGGTCTGGGAGACTCGCTTCCTCGCCTGCTTCAGTTGCAAGAGTTTCTGGTGGAATTGAGAAGAAGAAACAAACAGCAAGTGCTTTGCGAAGGTCTAATAAGGGAAAGAGTGTACCTTCGGAGAGTCCAAAAGGGTCATCAGATAAGTCTGAGAGGAAAGTAAACACTTCTTCATTGGGTGTTGTGGAGAGTAATGGCAAGAAGATAGACAGCATAGAAGAGTCGACAGATGAGGTCAAGAAGCAGAAGCCTAGAATGACAGCTCGAAGTTACAGGGCCTTGTATAGAGGGCATCTCAAGACGGATTCTAATGCTTCTTCAAATGATGAGGAATTAGTAGTGGTTGGTTGTTCTCGCCGTGTACCTGCGGAAAATGATGATGCTAGAGAAGATAACAGTCTATCAAATGAGAATTTAGGAGCAAAAGGGGTGCCGGTTGGAGAAATTAGTTTAGAGAAGGGCCCTGATTTTCCTGTGGAAGTAACTAGGGATATTATAGAAAAGACGGTGGTTGATTCATCCCCCATGGTTGAAACTGGAGATGGCAATGTTATAGGTTCACCATCTAAGAATCCAGAACCACAAAAACTTCGTGACAGTGAAACTAGCTTGGAAACCGACATAGAATTGGCTCTGAAAAGAAAAAGAGACACTTCGGGAAATGATGTGGCTAGACAAGATAACAGTCCAGCACATGCGAATTCAGGATCAAAAGGGCTGCCGGTTGTCGAAATTGGTTTAGAGAAGGGCCCTGATTTTCCTGTGGAAGTAACTACGAATAGAGAAAAGACAGCTGTTGATTCATCCCTCATTGTTGAAACTGGGGATGGCAAGGTTTTAGGTTCACCATCTGAGAATCCAGAGTCACAAAAGCTTCATGACAGCCAAACTAGCTTGGAAACCGACATAGATTTTTCTTTTAGAGACACTGGGGAAAATGATGATGGTAAAGACGATAACAGTCCACCACATGCGAATTCAGGATCAAAAAGGCTGCCGGTTGGAGAAATTAGTCTAGAGAAGGGCCCTGATTTTCCTGTGGAAGTAACTAGGGATACAGAAAAGACAGCGGTTGATTCATCCTCCATGGTTGAAACTGGGGGTGGCAATGTTATAGGTTCAAAAAGAAAAAGAGACACTGCAGAAATTGTGATGGATGCATGTACAAACGCAGATGACCGCATTATGAGTACTAATGGGGTTATTCCTTCTCCACCCGTGTGCACAAATATTAATCAACATGAATTGTGCGGCACTTGTCTAAAACGGCAAAAGTAAGAATTTTCGACTGCTGTCTGTCGTTTTGAAACGATTTGCCAATTTGAATCGATGGGTTTGATATGATATTTAGGATATATATTATTTTAAAATAGATGTTCTGGATTGTAATTTTAGTTTTACAAAAATTTGAAGGGTCAATGATGATTTTGAAAATCTGAGTGTTTGCTCCTGCACTGCTCAGCCAGTTCAAGAATCTGATCAGGTGGCACAGGTTGGTTTCTGATTGCGTACTTTGGACACACGTTAAACAGTGGTCTGTCAAATTTACTTATCCTTTACGTTTAAACTGCATATTCTGTTCTGCATTGCATTAGGATATGAAGGAATGTGGACCCGCTACAAGCAAAGACTATGGGGAGAACAGGCAGAAGATGCACCAAGATAAATCATTTGATCCCAAATTGTTATCAATGTACACCGAGTATTGGGTTCCAGTGCAGTTATCAGATGTACAGGTGGAGCAATACTGTCGGACTCTCTTCTCCGAATCTTTATCTCTTTCTTCGCTGTTGAAGAATGATCTTGGAGCTCTCGAAAAAACTCTCGCTTCTGTAAAGAAAGTAAGTTTATTTGATAACTAATTTTATTCTTCAATGTGCTTGTGCGCTAAGTCCCCACTTAACCATGATAATAAGTGAAAAGAAAGAAATATATAAATAGATAAGGTGTTCACTGCATTGCTACTAAAATGAATCATGTGTCAGCTCGTAAGAGGTTGTCACATAGGTGCTATGCCTTGCGGTTTTAATATTTGCTAGGGAAAAGGTTATGGTCTATTTGCTTTATAATTTTCCGTAATACATGAACTTGAAGTGCAATAATGACAGGTTAGGTCTGTATCTGACTACTGTCTGTCAGCATCACGTTTTCCTAAAGTCTCATTGTATGTTAATATGTGGAGATATTAAATACCTCCTTCTTGTGTTTGCAATTTTGCTGGCAGACCTGTGACCACCCTTATGTTATGGATGCATCTTTGAGACCACAGCTCATCAAGAATCTGGAGTTGCATGAAATCCTGGATGTAGAAGTCAAAGCAAGCGGGAAACTTCCCCTACTTGGTGCAATGCTTACTCAAGTAAAAGCAAAGGGTTTAAAAGCAGTTGTCTTCTACCAGGTGCGTTTCCATCAGATGAAAGAGGACTGAGTTCTCTTTGTCATAAATACTCACTTTTAATATATATATATATATACATATACATAGTATTCTGGCATTTACTTTGAACAATGGAAGCATGTTTTTGAGCATGTGATCATGCGCTGTATAATAGCCTATGAGATATGCTAAACTGGGATGTTTCTTCTCCTCTCCTTTTCATTGTCGATATATGTGCCTCATGTACGTTTGAATAGCTTTTTTTTTTTTTCTCAACAGGCAACACAAAGCCCTGAGGGGTTTCTGCTTGGTAATATTCTCGAAGATTTTGTGATTCAGAGATTTGGTCAAAATTCTTATGAGCATGGGGTCTCTCTCTCAAAAAAAATCGCTATAAACAATTTCAACAAGGAGAGTCAGTGTTTTATTCTGCTACTGGAAATACGTGCCTGCAGTCAAAGCATTAAACTCTTACGCGCTGAGGCTTTTATACTTTTTGGAAGCAGCTTGAATCCATCGCATGATGTTAAGCTCTTAGAGAAGATAAAGATCGAGCCGTGTTCGGAAAGAACTAAAATATTCCGGTTGTACTCAGTGTTTACAGTTGAAGAAAAAGCCCTGATTCTGGCTAGGCAAAATAAGCCTCTAGAGAACATAAACCGTCCTCTCACACATGCACTGCTCATGTGGGGGGCTTCATATTTATTTGATAAGCTGGATCACTTCCATGGGAGTGGAACCCCAGGTTCAGGAGTTCCATTTGAACAATCTATTCAGGATGCCGTGATTCATGAATTTTCGTCCATACTTTCTTCCAATGTTGGAGAAGAAAATGAAGGCAAGCTGTGTCTACTTTTGGAAGCCAAGCATGCTCAGGGAGTTTACAGCACGGATGCTACTCTATTTGGTGAAGAACATGTCAAGTTATCAGAGGAAATTAGTCCAAATATGTTTTGGTCAAAGCTGTTGAGTGGAAAGAACCCAATGTGGAAATACTGTTCGGATACTCCTCAAAGGAGTCGAAAAAGAGTACAGCATCTTCAGGGCTATGAAGAGACTACCAAAGTTGGCAATGGCGGAAACTTAAAGAAGAAAAAAAAGGCTTCAGATGATGTCATAGTAGATAACGATGAAAGGAAAGCCTCTGGGAACGATCACATGGGTAAAAGAGTTAACTTCCTGCTCCTTTATCTCTAGTGTTCATTGAATGTTCCAATTATTTTACTTTCTATCTTTCCTTCAGGGCATTTGGAGTCGCCAAAAGTTGCATCACTCAAATCATCACGTGGATCTGCTTCTGGTACGAATGACTCATTGACTGGAAAAGATGCTACTGGCTTGTATTCTTTGGGCGGTCATATCTCTGGAATCCCAGAGGATATGTTAGGTGGCATTGATTGGCGACAAATTCCGCATGAGTCACAGGGGAGTCTCTATGCTGTTTTAAAGCCGAAGATGGCAAAACTTTGTCCTTCAGTAAGTTGCTTTCTCCACCTACACAAATTAATTTAGCTTTTGATATGCAGATTGTTACTGTAATTATTACCTCATTTCATGGTACAGTCACATGATTTTTTTTAATGTTTAGCTAAGCTATATTGCTTTCGTTAAAGCCAATTTTACTTTCTTATATCTGGCTTAATTTCTAATGTTCTGGCATGGCGCAGCCTTGGGTATTGTATGTCGAAAGTTTATTTGGTTGCTGTTAGTATAAAAACTGATATTGACGGATGCTATTAGTTTTTGTGTATGCAGTACCTGCTATTTAGGGTATTATATCTTCATCTACTGGCTAATAAATGTTTCCATTGTCGTGCCCATACTGAATACTTCTGTGATTGTCTCTGTGGACATATTCAGAATTGTACAAAAAGTATATCTGCCATGTTTAATTGGTTGACATATCATTTTGTTTTCAGGAAGATTCGGTAAGCATAGCTGAAAAGTTTCTTGAATATATTATTGAACACCACCGTGTCTGCACAGAGCCAGCCACCATATTGGAGGCTTTCCAGATAGCTTTGGTAAGACAGCATTCACTTCGATTGTTTATTCATCATCTACCTTTTTTTAATAAGATCATTCGGTGGCATCCCCGCCTTTGTGGGATTTACAGTAATTTCCTAGTTATGCTAGCTAGTAGCTACTAATATCTTATACAATTAATGCTTTATACGCCACAAACTAAAGCCTTCGATGCTGCATAATTTATGATTAGTTCACATACTGATAAGTTTTTAGTGATGCACTTTCAGAGTTGGATTGCAGCCTCGCTCGTAAAGCAATCGTGTAACCATGAAGAATCTTTGGTCCGGGCAAAATCGGAATTAGGTTTCAGTTGCTCTGAAGAAGAAGTAGATTATATGTATTCTCTTTTGTGCTGCATGAAGAGTCTATTCCTCGGGCGTACACAAAAGGTGAATGAAAGTCTCTCAGGGGATACAGTGCAGATGCGTAGCTCAGTAACAAAAGATGTCGAAAAGACTATTAGGGACATCAAAAATAAAGGCAGTAAGAAACTGCAGAAACTTGTACAGATCCACGAGGAAAAAAAGGTGGATCTGTTGAATAGGAGTGCTGACAAGAAGCAGAAACTTCTAAATTCGAAAAAGCTGGAAGTATTATATATTCGTGTCACCTGTTCAGAGTCAAGTCCTCAGACCTTACTGGATAATCTTCAACGGGTGGAAGATGATTTGGAAAGAAAGAATGATGATCTCAAAATAGAGATGGATGAATGCCTAAAAAACTTAGAGGAAATGCACGAGGCTGACAAGAAAAAGTTGGCTGAGGATGAAGCATACTGGATTAGTCGGATAGAAAACTGGGCACAAGCTGAATTAATAGATTGTGCTACCATTCAAAGTAGCAGTAATAAGCATCGTAGTGGATTATGCTCATTGAAAACTTCCACAAATGCTCCTGATGTGCAAACTTGCAATGCCAATGGTGAAGCTACTTATGCTGAGACAAGTTGCATGGTTGCCAAGGAAAACCAATTGCCAGAAGCAGAAACCACATTAAGAACCATGTCGGGTGGCAGCACTCAACAAGTTGATGAAATGGTGGCTTCAAGAAATGACAAGGCGATGGATGTCTCAACCTTGTCTCATGAACAGCCTGCAGATATGGCTACAAAGAGCCGGTCCAATGAGCTAGCTTCTCTTACTGCGCCTGAGATTAGGATTCCAGCTGGCTGTCAAGAAGAATCTGTGGCCTTGAACGTGCAGTTGTCAGAAAATCAGAATTGTGTTACATCAGCGACACCAGATGAGGATGTTCCCTCAAGGGTGCCAGAGATATCCCAGTCATTTGCAAATCTTGCAAAATCTGCCTCTTTAGAGTCTTGGTTGAACAGAGAGGAGGCTTTGGTTTCTAAAAAAACTATTCATACGGGCTCTGATACTGATAACACTTTGGACCACCAGAATGAGGAAGCTTGTTCTCTTAACAAGGAGATTACGGACGAGTCGGTGTTGCCTATGCCTCACCCTGCGCTTGTGGTAAAGACTAGTAATTCTACTGAATCTGATCAGATTTGTTCATACTTCTTTATAATCCCCATTCTTCTTTTTCTGCAAAAACAGGGGGTGCCGTCAGATACCTTTTTCGCTTATTAAATTTACTTTTCTGGACAGGATGATCAGGAGATATGTCCCGTGCCTTCTTCGCCGAGTGGACATCAACCTGACCCAGCAGCAAACATTCAGGGCGAAAATATTGACACACCTATTGAGCCTCAGCCAGCTGGATCTCATATGCTTTCTTCACCGACTGGACAGCAACCTGGCACAGCAGAAGAAATTCAGGGCAAGAATATTGAAGCATCAGTTGAGTCTCAGCCAGCTGTCTCAGAATCAGTAGAGACTGGTGGTCTTGCTGCATTCGAGCAGGTCTCTATTGAAGACTTTATCTTTTGCGATTTTAATGTTATAGACCTTTGTTATGTTCAATCTAAGATTCCCATAAAAGAGCAGTGAAGTGTGGTTATTAATCATGTCTCATTTTGTCTTAAATTGACTCTCTGGACAGGGTGATCAAGTTGCATGTCCGTCGCCATCTTCACCGATTGGAAATCAGCCTGATTCAGGCGCAAACATTGAGAGCCAAAATATCAGCACTTCAGCAGAGCCACACATTGCTGTTCCCGGTGTAGTAGAGATTGCTGTTTCCTCAGTTTCAGATCAGGTACTTGCTATCGCAACTTAAGATGTTCTCTTTTGCTGTCAGAAACTATTATGACTTTGTAATGCTGGCTCTTGATTTGCTGCAGGAAATAACGGGTGCTCAGGATGCATGCTCTCTGCCGTCTCCTTTGATTGGAACTCAGGCTGACCTAGCAGCAAACACTGAGGGCCAAAATATTACAACAGTGGCTGAGCTTCAGACAGCTGGACCAGATGCAGTAGAAACTGGTCGTGATGCATCTCCGCTGCCAGTCTCTTCGTCTGGAAATCAATGTGATGCAGCAGTTACCACTGAGGTCTTTAATAACAACACAACAATGGCTGCGCCTCACACAATTGAATCAGATGCATGTGAAATGGAAGTAGCAGAACCTGATACCCAAGTAGAACAATCAACCTTTGCAAGTTAGTAACTGCCCTTTTGCATTTAAGTATAACATAGGCGTTTGCCAAAAAAACTGACAATCTGAGAATGATGCCATTTGCGCAGATAACGTTGCACCCCTTGCCCCTGAAGTTGTTGTGGAGCCTTCAGCAGGTGTTCCATCACATCTTAACAATGCTACGGGACAGAATGCCACTCCACCTGTTCCTCAAATACCTTTCCCTGTGTTCAATGACCCATTTCAGCATGAACTGGAGAAGTTGCGGAGAGAATCAGAGAACACAAAGAAGACTTATGAAGAAAAGGTTTGTTGTTCTCAATGCCAGTCATCTTTAGTTTTGGTTTCTTTTATCTAACTGACTCGTAAATTATTTGTGAGCAGAAATCAGTTTTAAAAGCTGAATTCGAAAGGAAGATAGCTGAGCTACAAGCAGAGTATCAAAGGAAGTTTCATGAGGTAGAAGCCGAGCATACAGCCAAAGCGACAAAGATACAGACGACCAAGAATCTTGTTGTAATGAACAAGATGTTGTCGAATGCGTTCTTGTCTAAATGTACGAGCAGAATGGAATCTCAACCCTCGGCAGCTCCAAGGGGTAAGCGTTCGAATAATAGAGCATATTGGTTTTTTAGATATAGAAGTCATAGTAACATTTTCTTTCTCCAGGTAGAATTCTGCAGCTAGCACAGACACTGAGAAATTATCATACAGCTTCGGCTCCTGCTCCTCTGCAGCCTCAGGCATCTTCTTATCCATCTTCAGTTTCTCGCTTCTCATCAGGCCTTCCTCCGAGTTCCACCTACTGCACAATGCCTCAGCCAAGACAACCTCTCATCTCCAACCCAGCTCCATTGTTATCAGCTTCTCCTGCAACTGCAACTAATTTAGCTGTCAATGGAAGACTAGCTTCTTCTGCACCGCATATAATAAACCCATATAGATCATCTTCCTCTTCAATTCCCATCCCCTCGACAACTACTCCAACCTCATCAGCTGTTCCTCAAGCTTTAACATATTCCACTTCAGTTCCCATCCCCACGACAACTACTCCAACCGCGTCAGGTGTTCCTCAAGCTTTAACATATACAAGTGCGGTAACTCAGCAGCAAGAACAACATCAACAGCAACAGAACTTTGGGAGTGGATTACAGAGGAGCGGTGATGTGGTCTGTCTCTCTGATGACGAGTGATCTAATCTTGTGACGTGAGTGTGTAATAATGATTTGATTTAGAGTTGTATAACCTAATAATGTATGTATAAGTTTAGAATTCCCTGTAACCTGAAATTGTAGGAATCAAATTCAGTGAGCCCACGGTTTTCTTGAATTGCGACGTTCGATATTCATGGGTTTTATCAGCGAATGCAAGTCGAAGAAATATGAAATTGTGTGGGTTAGTGAGTTTGATTGGTTTTTGTCATGATAATTGAAGAATAAATTTGTTGCGCAGTATTATTTATATTTTTAAATTTAAATGTTATGATTTGTTGATAGTTTATAAAGTTGGGGTTGCGTCCAAATTGCCAAATATAAATTTTAGGAAATTTTGTTTGACCAAAAAAAAATAATTTAGCAAATTTTGTTTGTTAAAACTACTCTTTTGCAACTGCAACTGCAAACACTGACTGAAAGTAACTTTTAATTGTGAGAGGTTAGAAACGGTGTGATTTACAACATTGTTTATGATTATCATAAAACACCAAGAAAAGCTACCACCCCTAGATTCAACATTTGTGAGTCGTAGCAGCAAAACCAATCAAGCTTTTAAAATCTATATTTTCGAAAACTTATTAGCAAAATCTACAGTTATTAAATGCAAAACCTTATCTTTAGATTGTTTGCATTAATTTAGGAAGAATATATGATAATGTCATTATTATATCTTTTAAATACTGAGTATATGCTTCTGCTAGTTTACTCCAAATATGGAAAATCTATTGATATACTGAGTAGTAGTTATTAATTACCTTTTGATATAGCTCTGAATCTTTGGTTGATTTATAGAGGATGGGTAACAAATTATTAAGTTCACTTTGTATTTTTGTTACGCATAGGTAGGAAATTGCTTTACTTAGGAAACAAATCTCTATTCATTTACTTAAAAAAATATTAAATTTCTAATACATTGGTCCAACAACCTTTTGTAAATAGATTTTTTAAAATTATTCTGTTTTAATTATATAGATTCAATCGTGATAAAGTTAATTAGATAATTATCAAATGTAAGATCCGTTTAAATTATTTAAATTGATATATTATTTAAACATTGTCCCTAGTTCTAGGTTTTGACCAAAGAAAAAAAATGACAAATATATTAAAACGACAGTTGGCGTATCTTTTAAATTGAACAAGTGACTTAAATTAATTACCAAACCGCCTCTTCTTCTTCGTCTTCGTCTACTTATTCTTCACGTCTCAAGTCTTCTCACCAAACTCTCTCCCTCTTCTCCTTCCAAACCCCCCCCCCCTTTGCTTTTCCGTTTCCAAACGATGGAGAACCCTTCTTCCACCGATGCCTCACGATCATCCGTTGACGCGATCCGACCCGATCCATCACCTCCTCCTCCTCCTCCCCCTCCACGTACTCCTTCCTCTTCAGTCTCCAAGGTTCGCTCTCTCACTCGTACGATTCTTCTTTTAGGGTTTTTAGCTAATCCATAGATTGTCTCCAATTAGGGTTTTATAATTGTGAGATTGGTTTTGTTTTGGAAAATTTTACAGAAAGAATGCGCGATTTGCTTGGATGAGATGAAGAAAGGAGACGGGAAGGCGATATTTACAGCAGAGTGCTCTCACTCATTCCATTTCGATTGCATCACCACCAACGTCAAACACGGAAACAGAATCTGCCCTCTCTGTAGAACTCACTGGAAACAACTCCCTTTGTTTCTTGATAACCCTATCCCCCCACCTCCACCTCCTCCTTTCCCTACCTTTCCTCCCTTTCTTGATAACCCTATCCCCTTTGCACCCCCACCTCATCCTTTCCCTACCTTTTCTGTCCCTACCTTTCCTACTACTCAAATGGGTTTTGAAGATGATGAGCTTTTACCACCTCAAGGAGACACCCAAATCCAGCAGCAGCATTCCGGTCCACCTCTCGAGGTTAAACTTCTCCCACAAGTCTCTTCCGTGGCGAAACGGGTCACTCTTGATGACTTTGCTGTTCTAGTTCATCTCAAAGCGGGTGTTGTGAGCGACGATGAGACGCCTTCTCGTGCTCCGTTGGATCTCGTTGCGGTTCTTGACGTGAGTAGCAGCATGGAAGGATCCAAAATGGAGCTTTTGAAAAACGCGGTCACCTTTGTGATTCAGAATCTCGGCGACACGGATAGGCTCTCTGTGGTTACCTTCTCCTCCACGGCTCACCGTGTTTTCCCTCTTAGGCTGATGTCTGAGACAGGGAAGCAATTCGCGATCCAGGCTGTTAACTCCTTGTTCGCTGACGGCTGTACTAATATCGCGGAAGGGCTGAAGGTTGGTGCTAGAGTGATCGCGGACAGGAGATGTAGAAACCCTGTTCCGGTTATGATGCTTTTGTCTGATGGGCAAGACAACTTTACCTTTTCACATTTTGAGGGTCATCGTCATAGAACTGATTACGAGTGTTTGCTTCCGAGTTCTAGTACCCGGATTCCTATACATACCTTTGGGTTTGGCTCTGATCATGATGCTGAGCTGATGCATACGATCTCGCAAGTCTCTAGTGGTACATTTTCGTTTATTGAAACGGAGACTGTGATTCGTGACGCTTTTGCGCAGTGCATTGGAGGGCTTCTCAGCACTGTGGTTCTTGATCAAGTCGTTGAGATTGAATGCATTCATGAGGAAGGTCTTAAGATATCCTCGGTAAAAGCAGGGAGCTACAGAAACAACGTCTCATCTGATGGAAGAAGCGCCACGATCAATGTCGGTGACATGTACGCAGAAGAAGAGAGAGACTTCCTCGTGGTTCTTGAGATTCCAACCTGCGAGGATGAAACAATGTCGCTGGTCAAGGTCAGATGTGTTTACAAAGATCCTATTAGTAGAGAGATAATCCGTGTGGAATCAGGAGAACTAATCATTCAAAGGCCAGAGGAGCTGACGGGAGAAGAAGTGGTGTCAATAGAGGTTGACAGACAAAGAAACAGGTTCCTTGTTTCGCAAGCTATTTCGGAGGCTAAGGTTTTAGCCGATGGAGGTGACGTGAGGGCAGCAGCTGAGCTTCTCAGGAAGAGTGAGAGAGACTTGTCAGAGACGATTTCAGCTCGGTCTGGTGATAGTCTATGTGCGTCTTTGACCATGGAGCTGAAGGCGTTGCAAGAAAAGATGGCGAGCAGGAGTAGGTACCAAACATCAGGTAGAGCATACGCGTTGTCGAGCATGAGTGCTAATTTGGCTCAGAGAGCAACGTCTCGTTACTCGCCAACATGCACAACATACTCGGCAGGACCCGCTGGATATAGCATGCCACAGGCGTATCAGACTTCTGCAATGGCTCGTATGGTGACTAGGTCTCAGCAACTTGGGATTCAAAGCCCAAAAACGTCCCCTGCTCCAAGAGACCAGACCTGAATTTGACAGAAAGGCTTGATATGATAATGGATGGGGTTTGGTGATTGCTTGCTTGCTTGATTTGTGTTGTTTGAATACTATTAAAAAGGTGATTGAGTTGGTTCAATCGGATCCATGAACTTTGTTACTTTTATTTTGTGTTTTGTTTCCATTATCACCAATTTATATTTACTTCATAATAAAATAATGGATGGAGTTTGGTGATTGCTTGCTTGATTTGTGTTGTTTGAATACTATTAAGAAGGTGACTGAGTTGGTTCAATCCGATCCATGAACTTTGTTACTTTTATTTTGTGTTTTGTTTCCATNATGGAGTTTGGTGATTGCTTGCTTGATTTGTGTTGTTTGAATACTATTAAGAAGGTGACTGAGTTGGTTCAATCCGATCCATGAACTTTGTTACTTTTATTTTGTGTTTTGTTTCCATTATCACCAATTTATATTTACTTCATAATAAAATAATGGATGGAGTTTGGTGATTGCTTGCTTGATTTGTGTTGTTTGAATATTATTAAGAAGGTTATTGAGTTGGTTCAATCGGATCCATGAACTTGTTACTTTTTTGTGTGTTTTGTTTCCATAAGCAGCAATTTATATTTACTTCATAATTAATATATTAACTAGATGATTTTCCCGTGCTCATGCACGGGTATAAATATTTTTAAATTAAATATATAATAATAATTGATTATTATTTATTTTTAGTTTTAAATTAATTTATAATTTGTATGAATCATTTATATTAATAGTATTATATTACTTTACTTATAATGTAATTTTATATATGTTATATCTAGTCAATTTTGTTGTTTTACGGTTGGTTTAGTTATCATTTGGAAAAATTGGATTGCATCTCTGAATTCAACTGTAATATTTTTAAAATATATTAATTTTTATTTATTTATTTATTTGCATATGGTGGGTGTTGTCTTAGATATGTAAATATATTTTAGGAAAATTATGTAAAACTTAAGATATATTGTGCTTACAATGAATTAAAAATTAACTAAAGTGTTTGATTCCAAAATACGTAAATTAATATAACGAAAATATTCTAAAGTCTCATGGATATATATAAATTTTACAAAAGAACTAAAATTGTAAGAGTTGGTTAGTATTTATTTTTATTTGTTGATATGTTTTGAGTTATCATATCTTATACAATAAAGTAGGCTTTTCTCCCTTCTTAGAGAGCCACATCAGCATTTGTGAGGGGGCAAAAAAAGACATGTCAGCAATCACCCAATTAAATTATACCGACCAAATTTTATCAATGCGTTTCGGTTTAAATTGGTTTTCTTTCTACGGTTTTGTGGTTCATGATGGGCTTTGTTTTTGGTTCGTACATGGCCATTTTTTTAAAGGTTTTCATGGGCTTTGTTTTTGGTGTCGTAGAGGCCCATTTTTTTACGTTTTCTTTGTCTGTTCTCTTCGATGGCGAGGAGTCTCCTCGTCCGTATCGACGCCGAACCAGAGAATGAGAATATGTAACCGCTGCCTTCTCCCATTAATGTCTCCT